GGATCTGTACGATGTTATTTATTTACAAAGAATATGACATATGCCCTAAGAAAGGGAGAAAACATCGTAGCAGGTGTTTCATATCGCGTGTGCTTTTACGATCAATATAGGGTAAATGAGTGAATGGATCCCTGCTTTCTCGTTGTGCGAGACCCTGAGGTTTATATAACCTCATATATATCCTTATGACTTTTGATTGTTTCTTGAGGTTTTATTTTAGTGTTGCTATTTTAGCATGTTGTCAATGACTATGATTGATTCGGTTTGATGGGATATGTCTAGGAAAGCAGCTGATTTAAAATCGAAGGATTCAAAAAGAAAAGGAAAACTATTTTGACCAATATTTATATTTGTATTCACCGACCGGACAATTATGTTTAACCATTTGGGGTATAGAATGCGATTGTGAATACAAAGATATGATGCGGGGTTCAAGTATGTTCCACAAATACTTGAGGGATCGAAAATACTTGAATTAATGTTGGAAAAGGAGTTTGGGGTATAGCGAGATGTGATATTCCTCCTCTAGTAGAGCTACTATATATTCCTAACAGGTTTATAGAACCGTGAGCTCTTATATTACTCGTTGGTCGCACGATCTATTTATCGTATGAATCTTTGTGAGGTAGATTGAGAAGGGTCTAAGGTGTGACATTTGTTGTCACTTGTGGTTCAGTTCAACCCCATCATATGTAAGTGGGAGATGTTGAAAAATACGGATAATGGGTCGCCCATGTAGGGTGACTCGGCCCGCAGGATTTTATAAGAGTTGGAGGGAGTGGTTTGAATTTAGAATTTAAATCTATAACTCCTAAGTAACCACTTGAAACTTCTCGATAGAAGTTATGGAAAAATGAACAAGAAGGTGGTATGAAAAATATGGTGAAAATTCGTATGTAAATTCACACCAAAATTGAAAAGTCCCTAGAACCACATTTTTGGGATGAAGTCTCACGAGAAATGGCACTTAGATTGTGGATAATAATCCCCTTCCATTATGATCGAGATTTGGACCATTGGAGTACAAGAAAATGCAGATTTTGGAGATTTGATGGCAAAATGATTCAATCAACAAAGATCTTGGAATTCATCATTTCAAGTAAGTTTATTGACCCGAAATTCATGTCAAAGCATGCTACGATTTTCCTATAGAAATATTACTTGACAATCATGTGTTGTCAAAATACAAGCCTGTATTGTAGAAAGGAGAATTCTCCTTGTATATAATTCTTGTTAATGGTGTCCATAATGTGATGTGGAAATCATTCAATTGTTGATGTGTAAGTGTGAGATTTGAATTAAATGTTGAATCCAATGTCACGTATAATTATGGACACCATTATGTAGACAATTATGTATATGTAGAAAACGATTTTTTTAAAATAAATGAATATGATGATGTCAAGTAAGATGTGGTCAACTACATTTGTACATATATAACATGATTCAAAATTCTATGAGACTTCAAATCTAAGGATAAAACTCACTACCTAATATTTAAGAGATTTTCACCTACACTAAGATAATTATTCATATAATTTTTTTTTGTTGCTGATCATTCAATGAATTGTTCTTCTAACAACTCGTCCGTGTATCCATTCAGATTTTCACATATGAATTTATGAGATCAACTACTTTCTTTATCAGGAAGAAACATGATAAATGTTGGTCTATTCTTAATTACGATATTCATATCTCATAGTTACTAACGAATATGAATAATTTAGAATTAAATTATTTATAACTCAAACTTTCAAGGAGCGATGAAAATTTGGGTCCAGAAATACATTGTAACATAAATTCTATTAAAAATAGAATATGATTCCAACGAGTCCAGATTTTTGAGGTATCATACTTAAGAAGTATATAAATATTTCCAAGAAAATGTCACCCAAATTATTAATTTAGTTTAAATGTTGAAAATTCTTCAAACTCAGCATGTAAGACAACAAGATCAAAATTTTCAAATAAGAATTACAAGAATCAACACTAATATCCATATATAAAGAACATAAATAATATGTTTATACATTTTAATAAGTATTATAATTTAAAATTTAGTAAAAACAATAAAACAATGAAAAGCAACCCAACCTTATACATGAAATGACGAGTGACTACTTCTCTTTGCACCGATAACTGTCATCAAAGTCTCCTTAATTTAGATTTGGTGTTAAAATGAAATTTAAGAAAATGATTTTTAAGAAAGTTGATATTCACTAAACTAGAAAATGAGAGAGAATTAATGGGTTGGAATTATTATTATTATTATTATTATTATTATTATTATTATTATTATTATTATTATTATTATTATTATTATTATTATTATTATTTTATTTTTTATATATTTTTTTTTGTTTAGAGTAACAAAGAAAGTTTAATTTGTTTTGAAAATAAGGAGTAACAATTAGAAAAATTCAAATTTTATTCTTAAACATACCATATAGAGATAAATTTACAGTAATCAAAAACTCTTTTGATAAGGTGGTCAATAGTTCAATTTATTGTCTAATTATCAATTCGTTTTAAATATGTAAGTTTACTTAATATGGATTAAAATAGAATGTTTTCAAAAAGAGTAATGCTATTCATAACAAAAGGCATCGATGGTAGCCCTACATGATATATATGTATGTGGCAATTTATAATTTGACACATTAATATGTTAGTTTTTTAATGATAATAATGGTAATTTTAATGATAATAAGCAATATGAAATAAATATGGAATATAAATTATTTCAAGTTTAATAGAATCATATGCGAATTATAATTAATTTTAATGGACACATTGAAAGTTTAGGACATTCAAAGTATATTCAAATTCAAAAACATAATTAGTTGAATAGTATCATTTGCAGTCGCTCATTACCGCAGTCGCTACGTAGCATACATATGGCGGTTCGTGATTTGATGCATAAAGTAATGAAAAACTATCACATTAATGCATCAATTCACTAATCACTACATGTATGTCACATAGAACAACTAGACAATGAGCTACTGCAAAAAAATTACTCTAATTAGCCACAAGAAAAATCAGTTTATTAATTAAGCATTAAATGTGAGATTGGGGCAAATGTTATAATAATTACATACAACTATTATTGCATTTATATCCCCAACTTTTTTCGATGCATTATTGTCCTTTACCTTCGATTAATTAGCTCATTTGGTTCCTGATGGTTGTTTCCATCTATATTTTCTGTTATCGTGTTTTTGTAATGAATGACAAATTTAACATTTAAATGAACTACAATAATTAAAATAAAAAATTGAAAAAGCCATAAACGGGGTAAAGGGGTTCTTGCCCTATTCCATCCCCCATAAGCGGGAAAGGCGGTAGGGATTGCGAATGGGGTCTTTGGTGAACCTGCCAAGTTGTTGTTGTTTTTTTTTTTTACGAAAAATCATTATCAAGAATAAGATGTACTAATTAATGAAAAATTGAAAATAAAAATGTAATGAAAAAGTTGGGAATATAAGTGCAATAATGAGCAAAGATTGACAACCTTAATTGCAAATAAAATATAATGCAACAAACAAATGGTTAAATATCTCAGTTGTCATTGAAAATTTCCAAATGTTTCTTAGCTGCCACTGAACTTTAAATTTGTTCAACCAATAACTATACTTTAAGTTGATTTTAATAAAGTAATTTCGTCACTCGAATTGATGAATTAGCAATCAATAAATGATGTACATCTTTCATTTCAATGAATTTATACTTATTTCACGATAATAACTAATAATTACATGTAATAATCATTATTTATTGACTTTCATGTCATGGATTATTATTAGTGAAATTGGATATAATTACCTATATGAAATCAAATTCACGCGGAATTACCAGATTGAAATCATATTATAGTGTAGTTATCCAATTGAATCATATTATAGTGTAATTATCCGATATAATAAAATTAAAAAATAATTATCTTTTTGAATTATAATGAAATTATAGATATGGCGAATACAATTTTTAGTATTTTTCACTATACATTAGTGAGAAGTAGGCCTGAACAAAAAAAATTGAAAAACAATCAAATCGAATCGACTCGGGTCGGGTCGGGTCGGTTTGACATAAGTAATTGGTTTGGTTTGATTTTCGTTTAAATAAAATCATGGTTGTTTGATTCGTTCATGGTTTGAAGTTTCAAACTGCTGGTTAACCGAACCAACCCAACACAACTCACTTACATGTTTACCTTTGTTTTAAGAAAAATAATAACCAAAAGAAAAGCTTTAATTTCATAACTATATCACGATTCCATTCAATATGTAATTTTGTCGATAAGTAATACTGAAAATTTTATTTCACAAGCTCATTATATTATGCTTAGTATTTTCCCTACTCAGCCAGTAAGGGTACATAATGTAATAAAATGCAACAAAACTCTTAAGTTTTTTGTTGATGTTTTTAGTAACCTAATTTTATTTGTTAGTCAATAATTCTTGCAATATAAAGTTATTTAGCTATTTTAAATCCTGTAATATAATTAGGTCAAAACTTGGACAATTTTTTATTTACTTTTTTTTAAAATTTCAATTTGAACTAAAAGTCCAAACCGACTAACTCAACCGAATCAAACCAAACCAATTATTTGATTTGGTTCGATTCGATTTAAGAGTTGGAGTAGGTTGGTTTGTGTTGAAATTCACCCAAACGACTAATTTGGTTTTAGTTTCGAATTGGAATTAAAGCCAACCCAACCCAACCCAACCCAACCCAAATCGCGTCGAATGAACTAATAATCGTGTTTCAAAAGAATCTTTTATTACAGACTTAAGAAATAAGGGATTCCTTGATATTGAAAAAATGATTTACTCGATTTGACAGAGCTTGCTCATGTACAACATGATTCGTTCTTATCATAGAAAAGAATCCCTAGAGAAGCCATTTCGGAATATTACTCAAACTGAACTTATATCCACTTCTACATGTACTTAAAAGTCCCGTCTTATCCGTTAACTCACAAAATTCTAACAGAGAAAATGAAGGGAAACCTTACCAAAACAGAATCAAATTCATTATGGAAGTGGAAGGGAATCAATTTCCAAACAGGAAAACCCGAAAACAAATTATCCGAATTCTTCAAGGAAAGTGGGCGTAAGCTGGAAGATTCAATTCTTGGTCCTGGAATCGGAGCCGGAATAGGGTGCGGCATTGGACTGGGAATGGGGATCGCAGGCGGAGCCGGGTTCGATGGTTCGCCACGGAACCACCTCAAAATGGTGTTGGGCATTGGATTCGGATGCGGTATTGGCGTCGGGTTCGGGTACGGGCAGGGAATAATTGGCGGAGGAGTCAGCTATGAATCCCTGAAATCTCATCTATTCGCGTAAAAACCCAAATCCAAGAAGCGAATTATGGTCCAGATCCGATTTTATTTTTCTTTACTCTTGAATTGCAGTTTATGGAAATCGGACGCAAAAATGATTTTATGAGCTCAGATTTTTATTCAGTTCCTTTTAGCCTTTGTTTGATGCTGACATTAAGATATGCATGATACATGTTTGTAGGTATGCTTGTCTGAGAGTATGTATATAAGCAATAAGCGAAATGATCCAAACATGAGATTTTCAAAATTTACTTATAAGTAAACTTTCTAAAAAGAAATAGAATTACTTTTTAACTTTTAAGTTTCTCTAATGTCAAAACACAACTTTACAAGTTGGACTTCTTATTAGCAAGATTTACTCTTTAACTTATTAAAAATGTAACTTTTATACTTCAAGTGAAACGATAGGAACTCTTTTGAAGAAATAAATGAGTTATAAGTTAGCAAGCCCTTGATCAGTTTTATTTCGGACATTTTTATTTTTTTATTTTTTTTTATTTTTAGACCTATGCTGTTTGGTATTTTAGCATTACTTGGAGACTTGTCACGTTGATAAATTACAATTTTAGATGATTTTAAAAAGGTTGAACTCCAACCTTGAGGGCTCCACCGTCTCGTTCGTGGAGCATCGTGAGGGAGGTAAATCGCGGGATGTATCACAGCAGGCCAAGGGACAAAAGCTTGCCCGTACACTGATACCCACAAAGAGTCAAAGTTCATTTTATGACACATGGATGCTGCCTATCGAGTTGATTGTTACTTTCACAAGATTTCTTAAATCACCTTTTCGCTGATGTTCTTGTAACCGCACATGCCACATGACGATCTCTTCATTCTACCACGTGGTTTACAAGATATCTGCACGTTCTCCGTTGAGAAACATGATATAACTTGCTTAATGTTGCCTCGATGGTTCTGGGTTCGTCTAAGATCTAATTCGTTCCCAGCGTTTAGGAATTCGTTGGTTGCCTTCGTCAGCCTTGGTTCGAATCCTTCGAACCCAAAGGTTGGCTTGCTTTACATATATAGAACTTGGGGAAGAGTGATACTAAAGCTTTGTTCTTATGAAGCGACTACTTATACTGCTTCTATTCTATATTGTCGTCGTTTTGATCATACGTGTGTCCCACTTGAGTCCTCGTAGAATCATTTGAAGCCACGTTGGATTCAAGACGTAACATCACTATTTTGACGCATGATTCTTAATTAAATTCCTTACAGTGGAAAGAAACAAATTTAGTGAAAATCTTAGCCGATAAAGCAGTACAATTTCTTGCATAGTGCATCAACAAGTTAAAAAAAGGGTTATCCCAGCTAGTGAAAATCTTCATACATGCTTAAGATTTGTCTCAGTATTCCTTCCAGCGAAAAACTTAGCTAAATTTGGCATTGCCTTTCTTCTCCTCCCGACAGTGAAAGGTGTAGACGATTTAGACACACTACGAACCATAGGAGATGCTGATTTCCGATGTTTACCTCGTCTTGCAGGAGTCATTTTTCCACTTCTGTTTATCGATTTTCTGGGAAGTCTGATTTCAGGCTGCAAGTTTTGAGGCTCATACTTTTGTCTCCTGTTCTGTAACTCCTCCTCGAATATTTTCTTCGGGTGAAGCGATCTCTCTGCTTCATTAACCTCTCGATCTTCTTCGACCCTTAGCTCTCGAGTTTCTCGTTGAGCTAGCTCGATTTTGATCAGAATTTCTTTTTCACTTGCTTTTAGAGCTTCAATCCATGCCTCAGCAGCTGCAACTTTTTTATCTGCGAGTTCCTCTGCCCCGGATGCATGTCCTTTTAAGTAGTCGTATTCAAACTTTGAGATGGTTATCGTGGACTTATCCCGAGAAGTTGAAGCTCTATTTTTCATCGTCTTCTCAATAAGTGACTCGAGATTCTTAAGAGCTGTGGCTTCTGATAATCTAGCTGTTTTCAGCTCTTGTAAAGCAATCTGTAATCTTTCCTCAACCAAATCTATTTCAGTCTCAGTTTTTTGAATTTCAGCTTTGATTATTGCAGTTCCTTCGCTAATCAGAGACCGTTCGCGTTTAGCTGATTCAGTTTCTGATTTTAACTGATCAAGAGTATGAACGAGATTTGAAGCAATTGATTTCGCCTTATCTTCAGCTGTGGACACTGCTTCCAATTTGGCTTTGGCCCTCAAAAGCTTTGAATTCAGATTCTGAATCGTCCTCTCTGCTTTTTCTTCTTTTCTCCTTAGTCGAGCTGTTTCTTCTGCCACGTGCTTGAGCTCGCCTCGTACTATATCCATGG